ACTAGACTTTAGCTTTTAAGAGGTCCTTTATCTAATAGATTTAAAAGTAATTTTTATATAACTATAAGTGTCTTAGCTCTAGCCCTAGCCTTAATACCCTTACCTTAAGGACTAGGCCTAGGGATTCCTTTAGTAGGCCTTCTAGGCCTTTAAGGAAGTATAAAAAATCGAACCCTTTTAAAAGACCCTTATAAAAGGGCTTAAAAGGGTAGTTATAAGGACCTTAGACCGCTAACAGCCCTTATAATAGCCCCTATACTAGCCTAAGGCTACTTAGTAGCTTAAGGCTACCTAAGGAAACCTTAAAGTAAGCTTATAAGCTAAGGTTACTATAAAGAAAGCGCCTAAGGCTCTAGCTAAGGCCCTAGCTAAGGCTTTAGTAAAAGCCCTAGTAAAAGCCTTAACTAAGGCCCTAGCTAAGAAGAACGTAAAAGAGGACTTCTAACTTATCTTAAAGCTAAAAAAGGAATTACTAACGCTAACTATTAACCCTATTACTCTTTATAACGAGCTTAATAAGGCTATAAAGGAAGTAGCTATATTAGCTCTATTAACCTTAAATAAAGGTAATATAGTTATAATAATAAAGGCCCTATATATAGTAAAGAAGCTTTTAAAGTAATAGGAGAAGTAGTCTCTATACCTTAAGGAGCTACCTATTAAATCGGCCGACCTTCTTACTAGCTAAACTAAGCTAGTAGCCTAGAGCGTCCCTAACCTCTTAAAGACCTCTATCCTTAATATCTTTTTTATAAAAGCTAAAACCTTAAGCGGGATTAATATCCTAGGGCAGCTTAGGTAGCTAGGTACCTTAGGCCTAACGTAAAAAGCAGGATCTATTATCTTTATAGTCCTTTTAAAGGCTATAAGGGCTAAATACTAAAAAAAAAGGCCTTAATATAATAGGTCTATAGATTTAAGTTAAGGCCTATAAGGAATATACTATATATATATAGTACTATAAGTGCCTTTCCTTTAGCTATAACCCTTAGACCTACTAGTAGCTTATTAATTATACCTTTTACTTAGAAAAGTACTTAACTAAGGACTATAACTACCTTAGCTATAAAGCTAGCTAAAGCTACTCTTACTTTAAGGTTTAATACTATAACTATAAAAGAGAGTGCTTTATAACTAATATAGTATAATATAGAGTTTATAAAGGAATAACTAATACTTAATAGCCTTAGCCTCCTTATACTTATAAGGCCCTTAAAGCCCCTTAGGCCTCCTAGGCCTAACTATAACTATATTAGTATTATATAGTATAATACTTATAAGTAGGAAATAGCTAACCTATCGATCTTATAGTAAGCCCTAGAAATAAAAGTAGACCTTATCTTATTATAAGAGCCCTACCCTTATAAGACTAATAATAGCTATATCCTTATATAGTATCTAGCTTATAATGTTATAACCCTTATCCTTTTTACTAACTTTCTTAAGCTTATTAAAAGGTCTAAGGTTATAGCTTATAAGAGGAGGGAAGCTTAAATAAAAGCTAGCTTTAGCTTCGACCTCTTTTATAATCTTAATATATAGGCTATAAGGGTAAAAGGTATTAAACTATTTACCCTTATTAACCTATATAATTAAAAAGAGGTTAAAGGGGCCTTAGCTAGCTAAGGCTAGTAAGGGCCCCTTATAATAAAAAGGCTACTATTAATAGCCTAGCTCTTAAAGTAGCCCTTTTTATTAGTAAGGGACTTTAACTTATACTACCCTTAGTAAAACCTATTTATAAAACCCTTTAAGACTTATAAGGTAAAAGCCCTTATTAGCTAGCTTAACCGCTAAAAGGCTTCCTTACTAATAAACCTTAAGGTAGTTATAAAAGGTACCTATTAAAGGAAAGGCTTAAAAGGGGCCTTAGTTATAGACCTTACTTTTTATAGCCTCTTTAAATAGTTAACTTAAGCTAACTTTTACTTCTTAAAGCTATAGGCTTAGATTATAAGCTTATAGCCTTTAAAGCTAGCTTAAGAGGCTTTAATAAACCCTTACTAGCTAGGCCTACTACCTATAATTATAGGAAAGTAAACTAAAAGGTATTTTTAAAATACTTAGCTAAGAAAGAATAAGACCTCCTTAAAGCTATAAAAAGGGCTATAAAAAGAAACGACTTAAAAAGGATATCTTCCCTTTAAATAAGAACCTTTATAAAAGCCTTAAATATAGTAATACTAAAAAGAGGCCTTATAAGGTATCTAAGCCTTAGTAGACTAATAAGCGAACCTGCCTTTAAAAAGCCTTAAGCTTAGCCTAATAAGCCTATAGGCTAGCCTAAGATAAAGAGAGCTAAAAGAGCTTTATAAAGGCCTAAAATAGCTTCAAGTATACTATTAAGGATACTAAAAAGTAATACTAAGAGAGTTTCTTAATAGAAGTAGTAGTAAATAACGTTTTTATAGCCTTTTCTTATACTAAGGTTAAAGCTAACCTTACCTTTCTTAGTATCTTATATATAAAAGAAGGGATAAAGGTAAAAGCTAATATATTAATAGAAAAATATATTGCCTTTTTAATAACCTTTTTCCTAACCTTAGACCCTAGCCCTAGCCCCCCCCTTAGCCCTTTCTAAAGCTTAGAAAAAGAAGAGCCTCTAAGCTATATAGGTAGTAAGGGTATAAATAAGTAAGACTAGCTAAAGCTAAAGAACCCTAAGATTAAAAGGGCTATTTTTAGCTCTTTTAATAAGAAAGCCCTTAGCTTAAACTCCCTTAGCTTCCTCCTTATTTAATCTATATATAAAGCTATCCCTATAGTTTTTATTAAGGCCTATAAAGCTTTATTTAACTAAGTATACTACCTTAAGGTATTAAAGGAAGCTATAGGAATTATACTTCCTAAGTAAAATAAGCTAGACTATACTATCCTTAAGGCCTATAAGGTAATACGTTTACTTAACTACTTAAGAAAGGTCCTTAAAAAGCTATATATTACCTAGCTAAGCTATTTAGCTAATATAGCTAGGCTTCTAAACCCTATATAGCTAAGGGGACGAAAATAGCGGTTAGCTATAAATATAGCCTTCCTCCTTCTTTACTATATCTAAAAAAAGCGGGAGTCTAATAAGAAGGCTATTACTTCTCGCGAAGAACGATATAAGAAGTATATAAAAATATATAAAGGTAAAATTAAAAGTAAGGGGTCGGATAAGTAGGGTAGAGAGATTTAATTCTTATAGGGTTAGTAATTATAGTAAGGGAATAATTATTATATTACCTTAATTATCCTTCTTTCCTTTATCTAACGCCCCTTTTTATACCTATCTAGCATCTTAATTAATAAAGAAGATCCTACTTAAAGAAGCTATTAATATCCTTTTAACTACTAAGCTTTTTACTAGTTTTTCCCCTCTTTTCTAGCCGTTACCGGTATATCCGTCTTATCTTTCGCTACCTCTATAGGAAGCTATCGCCACTTCTACTTCCCTTTATACCCCTACCCTCCTTTCTATACCTCTTTTTAGCTCCTTCTTCCTTCTTTTATACTAGGTGTTTTTAGCTTCCTAGGTCCCTCGTACTAAGGGATATCTCCGAGACTGCGAACTAGGCCACGCTTCGCGACACTATTACCTTATAATTCTTTGCCTAAGTATAGCTATTCAAATAATGCTAGCTTTTCTCTTTACGATAGTATTAACGATCGAGCATCTATCTAGATAGGCCGTGGCAGTATTTCCTAGTCGGCCGACAATCTAGCCTCGCAATAAGTCTTGACTGGCTCGGAGACGCAGGGCAAAGACGACAGAGGCGGCTTCGCGCCTTCTAATATTCCTGGCGCAAACACTACCAACGACACAGCAGCCAGACTCAATGCCGCGACCAAGTAATATAGCGAGGCGGTCTGGGAAGCAGTGCTGCGAATATGGGAGAGATAACCGTCATGGATGTTTTGCGAAGGGCCCTGGAGTATGATCTCAAGTGAGTGGCAGGTGGTTGGCAGAGCTGCCCCTATATCCGCTATCGATGCCTCTCTAGAGGAAAAGGGCATGTCTTCCGCCAGTCTCCTGCGATTGATGAATTTGCAGCTACCGGCTCAGAAGTCGCGGAAGAATGCGCGTTATTAGAAGGTAGCTCGACATGAAGTTGCGGCAATCTCCCTACGCATGTACTGATCGAGATCGCAATGATGGGGGCATAGAGACAGAGTTATATATAGCGAAGGGGACTATTGCTGGGTCGTTCGGATATTGTGAGGGTCCATGTTAAGTCGACGAGCGTAATTATTATGCAGAAGCGAAGTTATGCAACAAAAAGCCCACAGCGTAGGAGCTTTGCAAGCTTTTATCGGGTTAGTTATACTAAAGTTTCGCTTCACTCCTTGGCCTGGCTAGTTATAGGGTTAGTATTTACGTTATTATAGCGTCTATATTCCCGTTAGACGGCGTGGTGATCCCGTGGAGAAGGCGATGACCTAGGAAACGGAGAGAGCTGACCAGGGTGGATTATCGACACGAGCTTAACCGCTCTGGAAACTGAACTAGAGTCTTTGCGTAGCAATGTATCATGTTGCCTGCACACACAATCTGTCCGTAAGGAGCGCTTGGTCTTATTGCTAGTAGTATCGCTCTAGCTATAGGAAGGACTAAGGAGTAGAAGGCCGGGTCTTATATAGATATAGCTAACAGGGGTCGACATGACCATGGAACTGTATAGAGATAACTAGCCTCTTTCGGCGGCTAATGATAATATAGGACCTTTCTAGATATAAGAGGGAGATAGAGGCGTACAGGGTGGAGATGCTGTGTGGCAGCGGCGGGGAGGGTAGCCAGAGTGGGGATCGGAGACGAGGGCCAACAAGTGGACGTACTTTGCCCATATCACAAGTCGCGTATGGAGAAACGAAAGCAGTAAAGGTTGTTTGAACTATAAATGATTCCCCAAGTCTCTCGCTAGGAGTTCCAAAGGAGTGTAAATACCCTTACAACTGATCACCTGCATCAACGTTTTGTACCTTGGTCACAATTGTACCCAGGGACTAGCAGAAGTGGAGGTCTAGGTAATGAGGTCAATGCGGAAACAGTTCACCAGCTGCGAGTTAAAGCAGCCAACTGTGCGCCAAGTTAGATGGACTCATCGTTGCGGATAAGGCCGATGGGGTTTACCTGGAGCGCTCCTTTCAATCGAGTATAGATGGGTTCCACAATAGTTGAAGCCATTTCCCCTGCTGAAGTCCAGCCTCTCATCTACACGTAGACTGCGATAGCGAATGCCCACGCTGAACATATTCACGGTGGTGTAGTAATTATAACTGTAAAGAACGTTGTCCCACCATACTGCCTGGCCAGTGCCTGCAAATGTATGTAAGCAACGAGAGAGTTAGTCGTATGTAGTGGGGCATCTTTGCTTACAGAGGTCGCCGACAAACATGCTAACACCAATATTAGCATACTGTTGGCGCTTCTCTAACTTGGACTCGGAGCCTTTCTCGCTCGTCAGATCGCTTTGGGCCCGGATCCAGGCCCATGCCTTCGTTCCCGGTTCAGCAGTATAATGACCCTTGCTGACTTTAACGGCGTCGCTAGGGATAGGTCCGTATACGTCAACGCCCAACGCCGTGGCGTTGAAGATTGATTCGATGGCGAGGTCTTGGGATGGGACCGAGTTTGGAGCTGCCAGAGCGGACGAAATTGTGCCCAGGAAGGGCAAGATAGCTGAGAAACGCATTTTGGAAGCTTTAGGGTTTTTAACGTGGTCACTGCTGCAGAAAAGCTGGCAAGGGCGAGAATGTGTGCGACGAATGCAATAGGTGATTTCTTCTTGAATTTACCCCCCTTATATAGTTTTTTCATCCTACTCGGGTTATTATTAACAGCTCGAGCTGATATTTCCTTGTATAATGGCTGCTGAAGTCGAGACCCTTACTTGTTTCTCAAGTTGAAATACTAACGATAGGTGCTACGACCCAATTTCTGCGAGTGCCTTTTATAACCAAGCTAATCCTCGATGTTCTGCGGGTAGTCGACCCACACTGGCAGCCGGTGAGCTTAAGGGTAGTATTTAGTTGTGCCCTCGCACGGCATATTGCAGATGCTACAGTCCCATGGCCATGTCGATGCATATGAAAACTACCTTGACCCCGCAGCTGCAAGCATCATCGTCTTTAGCGGCCATGGTCGGCTTTGAAACAGGTGGGAATTAAATGAAAACGGTTATCGTCGGAATAATACCAACCAATAACACGTTCGATGACGCAAGGCCTTGCTTGTCATGTGCTTCCGATCGGTAAAAGAGGAATGACCCCTCGGCCCCTTTATCACCACTCTTGGAATTATGCAATGTGACTGTTGGCTTATGTGCTTTCCTTTGTCCTCTCGAGACCCAATCTTACAGACTCCGGACATGTGTAGGTGGTATTTGCAAACGAGAATTTACCACGGCGTCTAGCGCATATGTATGGAATAACGTTAGGCTAATGCTGAGCCGTTAAACTTCCAGCACGCAATGCTGTATTCTCTTTTTTCTCCTCTTGCCAGCTAGATCGTCTTTCCACTCTTACGCCCCGCCCCTCGGTTGTTGGATATTGCGACCTACTTGATATGTCTCTAGTCCTATGCATTCAGCCGGACCCGCTCTGATAGCAACATCGCACAACGTAGGGAACAATGCATTTACGGTAATATATATAGATTGAATGCTAAAACTAGGACGGGCTTCCTGCATATATGGGAGGAACTGACGGGAACGTTAACTCCCTACCTAGATCGCTTTCGGTCGTCGATTTGCTCGCTGTTGTACGGGTATCCACCATATGCTGAATCCGCTGTGCACAATCTGCACAGCCGCACCATATGCAACCTCCATTATGTTTCTCGTTTCTCTCTGGATGACCCAGATTAATCACGCTTTTTATTGCTCTAAAGCCACTTCTCTGCTGCGGGACGTTTAGTTTCTAATTACTATGACGGTACAAGAGCACGAATATCGTCAAGTGCAAGGTAGGCAAGGTAGTAATCTATAAATAGAGAAGGATGTTCCTAACGAAGACTCTAACTCAAGCTAATTATATAATGCCCTAAAATAGAACTGCTTATAAAGATTAACAGTTAGAGCCAACCTTACGTCTCTAAATGGCCTCCTTTTCGAGACGCACTTTAGTAATGTATGTTGAAGATGCATATGCATAAATGACACCCAAGTGTAGTTGAGCTGGCTGCAAGCAAACTAGAGGAACAATTACAAGCCGCCACACGTGCTTGTGCTTCACACCATCTTTTCGGCCACCATGTATGTATCCCAAAGTCGTTGTGAATGAAACCCGTGTGTACATGGGGAAGACTTTGGACACGGTCAGCGCTGCATGGTCTGGCATGGGTAGCCGTCCTTGCCGCTGCCGGGCATTACTGATGACAGCGAAATTGAATTACAAGACGCGAGCTTTTGTAGCACAAATGCGCAGGACAAGATTGTAGAGTCAACCGCAGTAGCGGCACAGCAAGCTACTGCTTGTAAATAGCGCTCTTTGCAGAAGTGATTATTCTCCTCTTGCTATAGCAGGAAAGAGAATTGTCGTCTTAGAGTTATATTTTCAGTCGCTATAGCTGATAGTCTCAAGCAGTGGGAATAGGGGCTTGAGGGTATAGTGGAAGAAGAATAGGCCACACGTAGGCGAAAACAGAGATAGATGCCTTGGTCTATCGATCGGGGAGCGAGGAGTCTATATAGCTACAGATACCCCATGCGGGCATAGATATCTAGCCAAAAGGAGGAAGTGAGATGTCCCTATACATAAGTCATGTCCTTTGTGAGTCTTGCTGCTAGGGGAGTCATTCAGGGGCTAGCCTCGTGGCCTGACTGATACATGCCGTCGAACAGAGTCCAAAGGTTCTATTAGTATCAAATATGCCGAATACGATAAAATAATCTCTGGTCTCTCTCTTTATAAGTCTACTAAACTTATTACAAGGTGGTCTCACTTCTCTTTCGGCTTATTAGGATGTGCCAAGTAACGCACAGAGAGAGACTGCAACAGAATCCTTGAGGGGGCTGGTATAGCGACCCAAGCGTGCAAGTAAAGTTGGTAAACTCTTAAGGTATAAGCAGTAGTAAGTCTTGACTTTTGAAGTGGCCCTCTGAAGTATTACAGCACTATCAGGACGGAGGAGCAGGGATCGCTCGCGGAGATACGGGGGTGTGGCTAGCGGGAGGCCGGGTTGTCCGCAAAGTGCCTGCCGCTCTAGATCAAGTACACGACCCATGTCCCGCATTCTAAGTCCGGCTAACACGGCACCACTCATGCCAAGTTATCATTGTCCTGTGGTCGAAGTCATCCTGCACGGCACCTTTCAAGACGGCGGGCAGAACAATCGCTACCAACATCTACGACGAGCTCCTTGCCCGCGAGCTAAAGCGCTTGCCCCAGTCCCGACGGCGACGGTCAACGAAGGAGACAGGCCGCTAGTGCCAGGCAGCAGCGAGCATAGCATCTGTCTCTCCAACCTCATCCCCTTGGGTCTCAAGACGACACGCACTGGATCCGGTCCCAAGTTTCTGGCCCCATGCCGAAGAGCCGAGCACGGCGTGAAGACAAGCTGTTCATCATGGACGGGATAACGGGACCAATCACCGCACAAGCACGTGTATAACAACACGCGCTGCCTTAGCTGCCGCTAGACTTTAAAAGTAGGCGCCCGTGGCTACTAATAGGCCGCCTAAACTTTTTAGTCTAGTTTATAGGTAGAAATAGGTTTTAAGATAAAAGACTATAATTACTTATAGGTTATTAGTATGTACTTTAGGTAAAGCTAGGTACCTAGACTAGCTTAAAATAACTTAGTAGATTTTTATTTAAAGTTACTTTTAATTAAGTAAGTTTATAGATTATAAGGGAACATATATCACGGTACGATTAGTTAGGTAGTAGAGATAGCTAGAGGTACTACGCTATATATACTATGTTCTCCTTATCGTAAGACTAAAGCTTACGAGAAGAGGCATTTCTCCTCTTTTATCGGAAAAGCGAGTAGTCTATAATATATAAGCGGGGTAGGTATAATTCCCTACTAATACCCTACCGATATATTAATACTATATACCCGAGTGCTTTATTAGCCTATACCTCTTAGTAGCGCTCTTATAATTATCTCCCCTCCTATATAGACGTCTTAGCTATATCTTTAATATATATTCCTTTTACTATACTATATATATTTAGTTAAGAAGAGAGCTAGTTTTAGTTATATATCGCGCGTATACGCTTATATAAGTATATATTAGTTTATACTCTATAACGTTAATAGTTATTATATTAGCGGTTACCGCTAAGTAACTATTATAGTATCGCCTATATATTAGCCGTATAACTATAATATAAAGAGCGTATATATATATCTCTTACTTCTTTTATTTTCTTTTCTTCTTTAACTCTTCCGCTTATAATTACTATAGAGTTTTATACCTTTTTTTATTAATCCCTTATACCTTTTTAACTTGCTTTTTATTAACGATTTATTAATAATAATACCTTTTATACTAAAAAAGATAAAGAACTATAACGCTAATTTCCTATACTATATATAAGAGTAGGTAGTAGTAGGTTCGCCCTTAAAGTATAATAATTAGCCTAGAAGTCTTATAGCGACGCTAGTTCCCCCTTAGTAAAGAAAGCTAAGAAAGGTATAAGGGAATCTTAGTCTTAGGAGACTTCTAGTTTAAGACGTAACGTTAGTAAGGGTCGTGCCCCTATTACCCTACTAAATACCTTAACTCCGACTACTAATAAGCCTACCTCTATAGGTTAGGAAACTTATAAGTCTATTACCCTTATTAGCGATATTAATACTAATAAGGAGATTATACTTAGGCGCTCTTAGGTAAGTACCGATAACCTAGCTACTTTATTTTAATAGGGCGGCTCTAGCTAATAAGAGATTATCGCCTAGGCCGCTCCTTAGAATAAGTAGGCCAATATTAACGACGAGGCTTAGCTAAATAAGGGCTAAGATAATAATAATAGTAATAATAGAAACGGCCGCGATTTAACTCCTCTTACTAATAAACCTAAGAACGGCGGCGCTAGAGATAAGGGTACTTAAGCGGCGGTATAAAGCGGTCGCGCTCCTATAAAAATATATACTTAATCTAAGGCTAAAGCTTACCTAGTTAAGGCCTAAGGGGTTATCCCTTATAAGCTTTAGTATATATATTATTTTAGGACGGTTATTAAAGAGTATAGTATAACTAAGCGTAAGCTTATTAAGGTACTCTTAATTAGCTATATTTTCTTAGGAGTTTCCTTAATATACTATAAGTAGTATTATAGATATATTATAACTTATAACTAGGTAAATTTCCCTTTAACTTTAAATATTATAATTATAGATAAGGGAAAATATAACTTATATCTTCTTAGCTAACTTTTCGAAACTAAGCTTAAAATATAGAAAAAGTATATACTTAGAACTATCGCGAATAGCGTATTACGCCCCCTTAAGTATAGCCTTATATAGCTACTAGCGGGTATATAATATACTACTAAAGATTATAAATTAAGCGAGGTTCTCCCTTATATAAGTAGAAAACTCTTCCTTACCCTCGCTAACTAAGGGTATATACCCCCCCCTACTAATAAGACTAAGCCCGGACCTAACTTAGGACCCTAGCTTAGATATAAGGAGGGCCCCTTTAACTTTAACCCCCCCCCCCCTTTACCTTAAGGGTCGAAATAA